GACCAGTACGTTGCGGAGCAGGAGCAGTACGCGCAGGAGGGGTACCCGCAGGAGGGGTACCCGCAGGAGGGGTACCCGCAGGAGGGGTACCCGCAGGAGGGGTACCCGCAGGAGGGGTACCCGCAGGAGGGGTACCCGCAGGAGGGGTACGCGGCGGAGGAGGAGTCCGCCCCGCATCAGTATGCTGCTCCGGACGGGCCCCCAACCCACCTCGCCGAGCAAAGCGGCGCGGCCGACGGCGCGGCCGAGCAGCCGCTGCTGGATGAGTACCTCGCGGCGCCGCCGCCGATCGAGTCGATTGCGACGCCCGGGTGGCTGCACGATGGGGAGGCGTTCCAGGAGAGGGGGATGTTGGACCAGTTGCAGGACCGGTCCTTGGCGGGCACGCCCCTTTTGAGGACCACGCTGAGGGAGCCCGTGGCGGCGGGCGCGACTCGGCTGGCGGTCGCCGACACGGCCGGTTTTGGCCTGGGGGACAAGGTGCAGATCGGGACGCCACCCCTGGGGGAGTTCCGCCTGGTCGCCGCCTTGGGCTCGCTAATGGTGGACTCGCCGCTCGCTTTGGACCACCCCGCAGGCCGCCCTTGGGCCGCACTTGGGCCGCACTTGGGCCGCACTTGGGCCGCACTTGGGCCGCCCTTGGGCCGCATTTGGGGGAGACGGGCTCTCCAATTCGTCCGTTGACTGGTTCACCCCCCCCCCCCCCGCAGGGACGGCGGTGGTGCAGCTCGAGGCGGCGGAGGCGCCGCCCTCTTCGGAGGCGGCGGCGGAGGGCTACGCGCAGGAGGGGTACGCGGCGGAGGGGTACGCGCAGGAGGGGTACCCGCAGGAGGGGTACCCGCAGGAGGGGTACCCGCAGGAGGGGTACCCGCAGGAGGGGTACCCGCAGGAGGGGTACCCGCAGGAGGGGTACGCGGCGGAGGAGGAGTCCGCCCCGCATCAGTATGCTGCTCCGGACGGGCCCCCAACCCACCTCGCCGAGCAAAGCGGCGCGGCCGACGGCGCGGCCGAGCAGCCGCTGCTGGATGAGTACCTCGCGGCGCCGCCGCCGATCGAGTCGACTGCGACGCCCGCGTGGCTGCACGATGCGGAGGCGTTCCAGGAGACGGCGATGCTCGACCAGCTGCACGACCCGTCCCTCGCCGGCACGCCCCCTCTGACGACCACGCTGAGCGAGCCCGTGGCGGCGGGCGCGACTCGGCTGGCGGTCGCCGACACGGCCGGCTTTGGCCTGGGGGACAAGGTGCAGATCGGGACGCCACCCCTGGCGGAGCTCCGCCTCGTCGCCGCCTTCGGCTCGCTCATCGTCGACTCGCCGCTCGCTCTCGACCACCCCGCAGGCCGCCCCTCGGCCGCACCTCGGCCGCACCTCGGCCGCACCTCGGCCGCACCTCGGCCGCACCTCGGCCGCATCTCGGCGAGACTGGCTCTTCAATTCGTCCGTTGACTCGCTCACCCCCCCCCCCCCCCCC